AAGTGGTTAAAACATGGGCAAAGTAACATCAACACATATCGAAATATGCCAAACATCAATGCTCATGAACCCTTCCCACACTGGGTGTATCAATCCTTCTCTTCTCAACCTTTCAAACAATTAGGCTAGAGGCTCAGCAATCGGGATATAAGTTCTAGGATCCCTCTCTTCAAAGTTAGGATGAGGGTGTGGTGCCTAAACATGTAAGTTTTGATGAGTAGTGCTTTGGACATGAGCATATGGCCGTTATGGGTTTTGGTTGTTGTTGGCTCGGGGAGGGTTGTATTGTGGTTGAGGGTGGTAATATGACTGGGTATTATAGACTGGAGCGTAAGTGGGTGGTGGTATGTGGCTGTCTGGGGAATAAGAGGTGCTTCCGTAAGGTAGGTTGGTTTGGTAGTAAGGGACGACTGCTGATACCTCCTCTTTCTTCTTCTTTACGATACCGATTGACCTTGACTGGATGGACTTGCTGGCCACTTGCAGTACTGCCATGGATTGTACTTTACCAGACTTTATGCTCTTTTCTAAGAAATCTCCCATCTTGACCAGCTCGGGGAACTTTTGACCCATCATTCCCATCATCTTTTCAAAGTATATTCCATCATGGGCTCTAATGAAATACTTGGTTAGTTCACTGTCATCCAGTGGAGGTTGCGCCCTGGCAGCCTCCGACCTCCGCCGTTGTGCATATCCTTGGAACAACTTAGATGGTTTTTTTTGCAGGTTCACCATTGCGAACTGATCAGGAGTGATATCTGTATTGAATCAAAAATGATTCATGAAGTCTTCGGCCATATCTTTCCAAGTTCTCCAATTTTGTGGGTCCTGTCGGGTATACCTGGTGTGCTTCTCCCGTCAAATTTCTTATAAACAATTTCATCCTCAACTTCTTATTTCTTCCCACTCCGACCAACTTGTCACAATAAGCCCTCAAATGTGCGTGAGGGTCCTCCGTCCCATCAAAAATATCGAACTTTGGGGGTTTGTACCCTACTGGCATATCCACATCTGGATGAATACATAGGTCCTCAGAGTCCAAACTTTCACCTCCTCGGGCAACTTGGAGACTCTTCATTTGCCTTCTCAACATTTGCAACTACTCAGGTACTGACTCTTCTTCCTTACGCCTGTCTTCTCACTCTATCTCGGCGTATTGATCAATATCATAAGGCACCCTGACCGTGACAGTGCTGTAAAGGTAGGTTCTAAAATGGCATATACAGGGGGAACTTACCGCTCATGGGTGGCGACATGTACCACAGATATGTGCTGGTTTGTGGTGAAAGTGACTCCGTCACAAGGAGGGGTAGTTGAATTAGTGGTAATAGGCGGGTTCTGTGATGTCTGAGTGTATTGTGGTACGTAAGGAGTGTGAATAGGGGGATTTGGTGGGTTAGCGGGTGTTATTGAAGGTATGACTTGAGTGGTGGGAGTTGAAGTTGGGGTGTTATTATTTTGGCATGATGTGGAAGGAAAGTGATCTGGAAGTGAGTCCAAAGAAGGGAATCTAGGTGGCTGAGGAAGTATTGTCATGGCCAGGTGCACCAGTTCTCTGATATGTTGTACCTCCTCCCTTAACCATTTCCTGGGCCATCCTGGCCACATGTTCATCATTCCTAGTGTTATCTTTTCCCCCGATCGCCCCGGCAGTCGGCTATGACCAGAGCATGTGCATTTTTAGTTTTCTACGACTGGCATCTTTCCCTTTGACCTAAGATTGTATGGCGGTTCCACCAGTTTTTGTCAGCACAAACCAACTTTCTTTTCTTTTTGGGGATAATAATAAAGCAAAAGGAAAACAAGAAGAAAGAAAATAAAAGGAACAAGAGTCAGTTTCTTTATTTATGCGAGCAGGAAATCACATAGAGAAGATAATTCGTGCATTACAACTAGCGCGTTCCTAGAATTTGCGGGGGCCTCTCATTGCCGGAGGTAGGCCTAGTTCGTGGATATTTGATAGAAATTTAGACTTGACACATTTAGATCCGAAGAAATTTGTTTTCATTGATAATTTGGACTGATATAAGTGGGAACAAGGATTACATCATTGTTGACTGCTAGGGCTTGGACAACTCACCCTTTTGGAAAGTAAAAGAGAAACTAGGGGTAAAGGTACAAAGTAGGAAAGAGGGAAAATCAACCAACTCTAATATCCATCCCCTGAGTAGTTTCCTGTGCCATTCTCTTCTTCTGGCTCCTCTTCCGGATCCTCCTCCAGGTCTTCCTCATCATCGTTGAATTCAGACTCCTCCTCCGGATCTTCTTCTGGCTCTATACTTGACTCTATCTAGATGCACTCTACTACCCGACCATCATCTTCAGTGGGTGGCAACATGAGGTCAATGGATCCTGGGAACACCTGACGATGCATTGATATGGTCACAAGATAATGCGGCAGGGTCTCATGATAAATCTGCAAGGCAACCACTGCATCCTTTAACTAGGCTATACCCTCTCTGCTTGGGCGGGCCAATTCTTCTTCTTCTTCTTCGTTAATCCAGACGTAATATTCGGGAGTACACCATGAGTTTTGACCCATAGTCATTGTCACCAGGTTATTCCATTATTCTTGCAGTCTTCTTATCTTGGGAATTGGGATCTGGCCATTGTATTCATCCTTGTACAGCGCCGTCCTTGTCCATAGAGGCACATCTTGGATCATCCCGAATTGTCTGAGGACCCGCAGGGGTGAGTATGGTTGATTGCCTTGCAGTCTGATCAACTCAATGAAATACTTCTGAGGAGTCCTCAATATTTCCCTTCCACCTAAGCAAGAGAGTTTCCAGTTGATCCATTCTCCTGCCAGATTGGTCAGTGTTTCCCTCCTTCTTGCCCATGTGGGAAGATCAAGTGTCTCATTCTTTCATTGTGGCTGCAGATCATATTGCTGACACCCACGAAGTAATCGATGATGGCCTCTCGCTGGAAGAAGTGTTCAGTAGCCCAGATCTGAAGTGAGAGGTTACAACCCTTAAAGAAATTGTACCCTCCTACACATGCGGACAAAGATCTCAGCATCTCAGCTAACACCATCGACACCGAAGTAACTTGAAGATCGCCGCAGAAGGTTGCCAGGACCACTGGTTGCAGGTTGATGTTGATCCGGTCCCTTCGCTGTGGAAAGACCAATAATCCCAGCAGTGCCATTGCAAAGGTGATAGGTCTGAAACTCTCCCACGTCGCCTAGTCACATTGAAAATCCCCTGAATACCATTCGTAGCTTTTACGGTGCCAAAACCTATCGAACATCTGGTCGAGGCTCACTGATATATCCTCGATACTTCTGAGACTTCTATTGTTGGTAAGACCTAGAGCATCCAAGAACTGATAACCAGGCATAGTAACTGGCAATACTAGCTTTCTTCTATTGAACGGCAGCTCCATGAAACTTGTGACTTCTTCCAATGTCGGTACTAGCTCATAGTCGGCAAATTTGAACACCACCTTCACCGGATCCCAAAGTTCTATCAACAGGCGAGTGAGCACCCTGTCTGCTCGGATGTTCATCAATGTCGTTAATTCCCCTAGGTGCGTCCGAACCTCGTCTCCGTGTTCCGGACGAATATTCTTCCACCACTGTTTTAGCTTATGTGGTGCTCCCATTACCATGTTAATTTCAGGGATGTTTTGGTTTATTTTCATTTTTCCGAGGTGGGTAAAAGAAGGATATTTGGGTAAGTGTTTGCTTTGGATCCTTAAGTTTCTTGTCATGTTTGTTGGTCTTTTCACTAAAATTATATCGTTGGGTGCATGACCCGTTGACATCAAGGTGGCTTCCTAATTGGTGTCGGTACCAAGGACCGACTCACCTAATGTTTATGCAGTATTACCTATTTTACTAGAGTAGAGTGTTTCCTACTTTTGAATTGGAATGAAAGCTGCGAGAAGTTATGTCAGTTGACCTGACAAAACCATTCTCTGAAACTAGAGAGTTTTTTAAAAGAAGGTTCGGAGGGGGTGTAAAAGACAACCCTCGCGTGCCATTATGTGTGATAGTGTACGGCCAAGACTCAATTGAAAGAGATGTGATGACAGTGTATATAAAGTAGTAACAAATAAGGGTGTAGCAGCAATAAGCATGATTATCATAAAGAGCAAATAATTATAAAGAGTAAATAAAGCATTACTCATGTAATTGCAATTTCAACTATAATCAAAGCAAGGTGTAAATAAATCTAGAAGCCAAATTAGTCTAAGTCTATTAAGGTCAAAACCTAAGTGTGAAATCCCAAGCAGAGTCGCCGTGTTGATGCACCCTATTTTGCACTAGTCAAGACAGGATTCAACTTGTGGTTTCTCTCTTGCTGATGAAAGAGAGCCGCCACCTAATATTTAAAGGTATACTAGGGTACCTATTTAATTATTAAATTATGTTCATTACAGATCTGCAAACCAGTAAGATTATGGGTAAGGATTTTATTCTTTTAAGGAGAAGGTGTTAGGCACCCCTTAAAATCTACATGAGGTAGCTCCATAGGACTCAGACTAATTTAAAGGCTCGATTATTTATACTATGCTTAATTGTCACTAAGTCATGATTTACTACATGTTAAAAGGAGTACATATAAGACTTTAGAAGGGGTGTAGGATTATAAAGAGTTATTGAAAGTTAAGAGGATTTTGAAAGTGGTCTAGATTTTAAGGCTGGTAATTATTAAGTCATGAAAATAAGTACTTTGAAGAATAGATGCGAGAGTAATCTTAAGAGTTGTTTGTAAGAAAGATGATTTTCAAATATACCTTGATTTTTCTAAAAAAAGAAGATTTAAAGAAGCAAGTCTTTGGAAATTTATTTGAGACTGTTCGTTCACGCTTTTTTAAGAAAATCTGATTTCATTCCTTGTTAGTGAAAACCAAGAAAATCTGATTTCATTCCTTGTTAGTGAAAACCAATTATTCTTTCCTAATTTTCTTTGGAAACGAGCTGTCGTTCTGATTAAGCACATGAGCTTCAAAAATGATTAAGAAAAAGTGAGTGTGCAAGATGAACAAGTTATAATTAACAGGAGGCGTAGATTAATTACTAGCTATTTCTTTTTAAGTCCTATTTTAATTTAGGTTTACCTATGTTCCATGTAATACTATAGCATAAAAGAAAAATACATAATGTAATATATGAGTGTAAATACAAGAGGACATCATATGATAAAAACAAAAATAAGGGCAGTAAACAAAAGATGATGAAAGATGTAAACTAAGCTATGGAAATGAAGAACAGTAACGAAAGAGGTAGGGAGAGAGGACTCGACTCTGATGATTGGGCCCCAACAAGATAGGCCTAGCGACTTGAGAGATGCGGCCATGACAAAACTAAACTCTTCAAAATGCAACAAGAGCTGGTTTGGGCCTCAGTTCCTTAAGAACTCAGCAGGCCCAAATGTACGCATACCCAAAGGAGCAGAGAAGGTCATTAGAAATATACTCAATTTTCTCAGCATATTCTAATACACATGACATGTATATAAAAAATTAATTGAAATGAGGAAATGACTAATACTGTGGGAAATTATATATTAATGTGGTGATTTCACTTAGCAAATAATTCACATTGAAAATCTTTCGTTGTCATTAAACATTAAACTTTTAAAGTACTAAATGTGTCAATGAGAGGTCGATGCTCCCTTTGGATCCCCCGGCACTTCAAATTTCACAAGGGACTCAAGGCCCAGGGCAATGCTTGGCCCGGGGAGGGCAGCCCAACCTAGAGTCGAGCTCCGCTCCCAAAAATCCTTAAACACTAATAACTGGTTTCCCTTACGAGTTTAAGTACCAATGAGGCCCTTCCAATTTAACTTAAATGTTACAATATTACCAATCACAAAATATATACCTTCCCTCCTATCATAAGAACATACAAACTGTACTGGATGTCCAAACAAACATATGTATCACATGAAAGAAAAATTATGAAACTCATACAGGTGAACATAAGAAACATCCCAAACATGTTACAACAGTCCAAATTTAGAGTAAGGCAATACTCCAAAGAAAGGTAAAGCTATACAATAGCAACTCAGCATATATAGAAGTTTCTTGTATATGGTAAACCTAATGTGAACTGGTTGACTTTGTTTTCAGCACATACATAGG